TGGGGGGCCCCTGTACGGACCAGCGAACGCAGATGCTCTCGCGCCGGCCATCCACAACAATGTGATCCACCCATCCCCCCCCCCCCTTAAGTTTGTCTTTAGGTGGGGGGTGCGGGAGCGATCGCCCTTGGATTTTGGGCTGGCGGACTGGGATTGACCTTGCAACTTGGGACGGGGCATCAACAGGGCATGGGCATCGGCACGAACCTGTGACATTTCGGTCAGGGCCTCTGAAAGGGTCCAACCTGCAGACACAAGCTCTGAGATGGAATTCCAGAGGGAACGTGCAGCCCCAATGAATTCTGGGAAGGAAACACCACGTAGGCCGCTGGCCGCATCCAGTCTGGGAAAAGGCCAAGTCAGCAATGCGCTTGTCAAAAGACTTGAAAATGAGGAGATGAGCTCCACCCGAAAGCACAAAGGCGTTTCTCACAAGCGTCTTGTCCTATGAAACAAGTTCGGTGTCAAAGACATGTTGTCCACCGGCAATTCGGGGGCATCTTCCCACATGAGATGGGACAACCACTGCATTTTGGCGAGAATGGCGCGCCTCCGCTTTCTCTTGAAAAACCTTTTGGGAAAGACGAAGCTGCCAGGGCACCTAACGGATCGACTGATCAGTGCGCAGCATTTGGTGTATGGTGCTCCACAGCTTCACGGAGGGGAGGGTGTCTTGATCAAGAATCTCCCCTGGGTAGGCCAAGCGAAAGGTGGTAATCATGCAACGCATTGTCTCCTGCGACAAATGTGGGGGAGCAATTTCCCCCCAGTGATTCTGGATGCGCCCCAGCCAGCGGCTCTGGATGAGCGCCACCACCAGCAGGAGGAGCAGCAGCAGTCAATGGCTTCTCACGCAACCAGAGCAAACGGATGCGGCTGGCTTCCGGAACACAGCACGGGCTCTGGCACGTCAACAAGCCATGTTTGCAGCAAAGGGTCAAGGCCCTCAACCTTGGTAACACAATGCGAGAATAGTTCTGGGGTCTTAAAGCCAGCTGACAATATTGTCTGCTGAAGAGAATCCGGAATCGCACAATGAGGCCAATTTAACCTTCTGATCTGGAGTAACCGTTGCGCTATTAGGCTGCATTGTAAAGGAAAAAACCGTTATGGGAAAGATTAAGCTTCTTCCTACGTCCGAGTACATACGTTGTGTGGGCCTGTTTTGGCTTGAGGTTTATGATGGAATAAGAAATAGTTTTCTAAAGGGCTGGAACGATTTATCTTAAAATTGGAATCGTTTTTTAGGTTCCTTTTTTGGTTTAGCCCTAAAAAGGGTAGTATAAAAGGACATTTAAATAATAAGATTTAGGTTAATGACGAGATGAAACTGGGCGATTTCGGCTTAATTCCACAGATCCTTGGGCCTTGGGTTGATCGAAATCGTATTGGCATGAACATATTAGGACATTTTCTGGGGTAATTAGAAAATTAATTTATTTAGATATTTAAAAGCCATTGGCGGAAATATTATGTCCGTTTTGCAAGAGTTTGGCGATGTGGAGCCGTGGCCGATTATTAATATTTTTTTTTTTTTTTTTAATATTTTGAGTGAAATTAATTAGGTTTTGGTTATATATATATTTTTTATTGATTATATTTTTTATATAGGTTTGTATTAATTAAACAAATGGATGGATTTTTTGAGATTAATTTTTGCAAATTATTTTTTATTAAAATAAATTTATTGATATTTTTATTTATTATAAATTTTATTTTGTTTATTAGTAAAAATTAATGAATCCTTATTAATATAAATATAATATTGATAATTTTATTATATATATATTGGGATTTAGTTTTTAATATAAAAAATAATAGGAACTATTTTTTGTTTTTTAATAATTAATTAATATACTATTTATATATATAATAAGAAAATTAACTTACATATTATATTTAAAACAATAGAATAATATATTTTTTTAAATTTACTTAATTATTTTAATATTTTATTTTATAACTAATTAAAATATTTTTTTATTTTTTTTTGTTTATTTGATTTTAAATATTTTTGTATAGTTATAAAATTTTTAATTATATATTATAAGATCCAATTTAAAGCCTAAAAATTATTAAATCTCAAACAAAAAAATTATAAATTCCTCATACTTCAAAAAATAACAATTCTAACAACAACGAATTAAATACAACAATCGTAAAAAACACTAATAAATCTCGAAAATAATAAATAAAATAAAATAGCCAATTTATCATCCTTAAAATACATCTTCAAAATCATTTATATATACAACCCAATGTTTTTCATACACCAAATATTATTTATTATTATATAATTTTGTAAATTTCAATATTATATTCTATATATAAAAAATACAAAAAAAATTAATAACAAAGAATATATAATTTAAAATTATGTTTTTTTTTTTTTTTAATATATATATTATATAATTCAAACAATTTATACTAATTTTGCAAATATTCATATATTTTAAATTATTAAAACCAATATATTATTAAAAATTTAAATACTTAATATATATATATATATAACTAATAATTTTATATAATTAATATTTTCAATAATAAATCCAATTATTATATAATTTTAAAATATTCTTCAATTATTATATATTTATTTCGTATTTTAAATAATAAATAAATAATATCAATATACATTAAATCAAATTATATATATACCCAACAACTTATTCCAAACAAACCGAATCATCAAAAATTAATACATATATATATATTTATAAACACTAACTCTAATATAATTTTCAATCATTTTAAACATATTAAATACATTTTTAAAGAATCCAAATACCAATTTAAACAAAAAATCCTACTATAAAATCAAAATCAATTCAAATATCAAAATACCAATAAAATAATTCTACAATACATACAAAAAATAACCTTTAAAATATATCATACAATAATATTTCTATAATCAAACATATTTTCCCATCTATACCAATTTATTCACTATTCCAATAATATATAAAAATTGAAAATTCAATAAAACTTGAATTATCCTAATATTTTTTCCTAAAAAATACATAACATTCTCGAATTACCCAAACAATTTCCAAATTTAAATCTTCAATCCAATACTAAAATATTTCAATATATTACAAAAACCTAAACAACTACTCAGATTCATCAAATATAAATAAATATATACATGGTATTTATACATCTTCAATCCAAAAGCTTAAATGCTATACAATATCATTGAAGATTCTCGGATTTTGCTATAGATCATATTCAATCCAACATTTTGAATCTAATCATAATATATTTTCAAATGCAAAATAATCCTATAAACATATTTTCAAGTTCTTAGACGACATTCAAGTGCTTTCACATAAATAGAAAGAACACATATCATAGTCCAATCCCCCCATCCCTCCGTGGAATGGTGGGTGGGTCTGGCTAGAATTAGATTGGGGGTAATGCAGGATGGTTGAGGGTTGATTTATGGTCGGGGATTCGCGTATAATCTTACCTTGGACCCCAATGGGAAGACAGTACAGCTATGAAAGGGCGGATCGTGGGTCGGAAAACCTGTCCATGTTATAAATGCAGAGGCTTGGATTGGATACTGGCTTATTCGAGGAACCAGGAAGGCGCAACTCGCATGGATGTTTTGCGATTGTAGCATTAGCCATGCCTGTCTGCTGTAAGCAAGCAACGACGCAAGTCTTCGCCAAGCCGCGATTGGGTTGTTGACTATGATTTTTCATAGAGAATTCCACAAGTGGTTGGTGGACATGAATCTCCAAACAATGTCAGGATCCCGTATATTCTATCACCCCCAAGCGGCCAAGAGATACTTGGGTCCTTGCTCAGTCGGATGACGACTCTATAGCAAGCGAGAATATGCGTATGAAGAATCACTCAGCTCAACAGGGGACCGCTCTGGTGGCAGACGCCTTTGATGTGAGCAGGTGCTAGACAACTTCCTGGACGATACGTATTCTCAGCTTGGACTGGGTCCATGATTTGGTCAGGGAAAGATCACTTCGGGACTTCCGTTGCTCTGGAACCTGGAGAAAAAAACCCTGTGTGACTTGCATAAACATAGCATGGCCGCAGCACCAGATCATGTCAATCCTGGGCTCCATTTGCGACTGACGTTCGGCAATCGGCACCATTTCTTGGGTTCCATGGCTGAAACATGTGGAGCAAACATGGTGGGCAAGACAGGAGGAAAAGACGAGTTGCGCACTATTTCAAGCCATTGAACATTCAACTAACGGTTGGGCCCGAAGAAAGGGCTAGGGGTATACCGATCGCAGATATGCCCTGCTAAAGAAACCATCAGAGACTGGAATTCGCTGAATTTTCTTGATGTCTCCGAATTCTTACACTTGCAGGGATGTCAACACAAACATTTGGGGTCCCCTTTAAACATGACTCATCGCCAAAACCACGGGAAGCACGATTATTGTACACAGCAAACACGGGCCTCGAAAACGCAACAACAACAGAGCTCTATATTTCCCCGTGTTGGTGATTTCAAATCGCCATTTGGGCGGGCCAACACTATGGTGAGTTTCCTTTTGCCCTAAACACGGGGAAGTGAATGGGGATGTATGGGGAACTGCGTCGAGCTCAGACACTGGGGCCCAGTCCAGAGGGAATCGCAGCGCAAAGGGTGAAACCCAAGTGCAGCAGCATACTTGTGGCTGCCTGCACTTCGCGTGCCCACTTGCAACTGGGGTGTGCCTTTTGAACCGCTTTTCATTTCGTGGCTTCTTTCAAGGGGTCAACTTATTCGCCTATAGACCCCCCCAAAAGCAACCAACCAACCAACCAAACAAACAAACCAACAAACCAACAAACAAACAAACAAACCAACAAACCAACAAACCAACAAACCAACAAACCAACAAACAAACAAACAAACAAACAAACAAACAAACAAACAAACAAACAAACAAACAAACAAACCGCCGGCTGGTACCTTTCCGGGAGAGACCAGGTGACTCTCTCGCTTTTCGCTTTTTGCTAGATGCGAGCCGCCGCCTTCAGCACCGTGCCAATGTACCGCTCGCGCCACATGAACTCCGACACCTTCTCCAAATCTCCCTGCGGTTTTCATCTTGCGATCGGTGCGAAATCGGTAGGGAATGGTTGGGAATGAACCCCGGGATTCCCTTAAAGGAAGTCACAAGGGACAAGGTCCGGTTGAAACCGGGAACGTCTTCGGTGCGCGTCGAGGCGCATAGGCGCTGAAGTTCCCCGAGATGTTGCAGGCCGGGTCCGTGGGCCCGAAGAGTTGGCCCAGAGGCTTGGAGCAGTCCTTCGACTTCCGCGGGAGTTGAGGACCGGACTGAGTGAGAGGTCCCGGCGGTGGGCTTTGGGGCTTGACCCGAAACGCATGGAGTCTTGGGTCAAAATAGGGATCTGAACGAGCCATGGCTTGTGTATGAAGGGATTCGAGGAGAACTTGGTGGGAAGCTACCCACCTAGACCGGGCCAGGTTCCACGTTAGTTGCTAAACATGGAATGTGCATTTGCATCTGCATCAGGGCGGGTGGGCAGATCATTTTGGAGATTCAGACTACGAGGTACGCATTTTCAGGACCAACGAAAACAACACAGCCATATCACCCCGGAAGGAATATGCGCAGGAACAACATACACATGTGAGCTTTGTGCGTGAACTACACACACGGCTGGCTTTTCTGGAAGCCTTGGGTTGGGCGTAATCTTTGGGGCACTTCACATGGGTCAAACCAACCAACCCAGAAGGACATTGCAACAAAACGTTACAGGTACATGTAAAACCATGCCAAAACAACTTTCAGGAGACAAAAGGGGGTACCTCCCCAACACATCTGACTACGTGCAGCAGAAGCCCGATGAGAGGAAACTTTTGGGTTGCTTCTACGCTAGCCAGAACCCCACGCCTGTTTGCCGATCTTCGGGGCATTTTGCCATCAGAACTTTCACGCAGACGGAAAACCAGAACTGCAACAAGAAAAATAAAAAACATGCAAGTCCCTTCTCATGTCTTTTTGGTCAAAACTGACAATTCTGGGCAATCTGGCACCCAATAAACCTACCTCTAATGGCAACCACAACATGGTGTGATCTAATGCTGCCTTGACATGCAAGACACATCAAGATACCCGCCATTTTCCAAGAAACGAACCAACAAAAGGCGCCAGGGTATCGTTTTGTGTGTGGTCATGCTTCTTGTGTGGCTTGATACGTCACCAAGGCGAACATTTGGGCCTTTGGACACCAGCAGTAACTTGGCGGGTTTGGACCAGCGGAGCTCAGGAGGTCTACAAGAATGGGGCAGTGAAGATTGGGCCCGTTTCAGTGTGACATCTTCAAACATCCCTCCCCAAAACGGCTGCTCAAAAAGGCTCCTCAAAAAGGCTCCGCATATATGTTGGCTCAAAAAAGGCTCCCCAAAAAGCAAGTCTTAAAAAGCGGACGTCATGCCGACGGCTCCTTGTGCCCTGTCTCGTAGGAGTGGCAATCCGCCACCAGGAGACAATTCCTGAGAGGATTGCTCGCACGAGTGCATTGCAGCCAGTCATCACCATTTCCCTGGGAAGAAGTGGTTTGTCAATTGAGACTGAGACCTTTGGCACGTGAGACAACCGCTGGGCACCTCGAATACGAAAACAAACTGGAGAAACAGTTTGGTTGCTGAGGGTCCATTCAGCAAAAAGATCACCCATCCCCTGTTGATTTCCCTATTCAGAAACTCACGAGATTTGTTCGCGCCTGGAGACACTCAGGCGACTCTGTTACTCTCTGCCAAGCTGCTCGCCACACACGTCTACGCACTCATCCTCGCGTCGCAAGAAGCTCGGCTCCAGCTGAGTTCCTTCTGTATAGTCCTTGGCGCTTCACGCTCAATTGATTGGCTAAAAGCGGCGAATCGCTGTGGGCTGTGCAAATCGAGATGGTGAAAGAAAAGCTTCAAGTGACTGAGGTGAAGTTGAAGGTTTCTTCTTGAGATTGAGGCTGAACCGGCGTGGAACAACCCTCTTTTGCGGTTCAGGTATGGCAAATGACCAGTCGCCCAGATGCCCGTCGAGCTGCGCCCGTGCCAACACATGCGTCTGCTTTGTATATCACAGAGAGTAACCCGTCACTGGGCTAATCAACTTGCCGAAGGGACTCAGACAGAAGCCGCGATTGCCTCTGGGACCAAGTAGACGAACCGGAAGCAACCAGAACAAGGCACTACTCAGCCCTGCAGTATGCCGTGGGCTGAGGCTGGTTTACTGGCACGCCAGGGTTCCATAGAGTCCCCACACAAGGCATGCAAAGGACATCTGCTGCTTTGGGCCCGAGAAACGCGAGGATGTCTTCGCAGCTGATGTGATTCGCTCGCAAGCGAGTGAAGGCTTGACATCACTGAAGCAAAACAACACACGACCTGATTGTCGGAAGCAAATGGGAATCCCCCAAAACTTTGCAAACGTTTCGCTCATCTCAGCCGCCACTTCTTTTGTTGCGTTGGTTGGTGTTTTTGAAGCACAAATCTCCAAACCAGCAATCCAAAACATCCATCAATGGTCATCCGACTTGATAGGTCTGCTTCCGCTATCAGCACCCCTCCCTCAAAAGGGCAACTCCAACAAAACTCGCAAAACAAATTTAGTGTCTTCGACCCTGAAGAGCGATGACCCTACCCGTAGGGTTTACCGCTGACGTGTTTTGTTGCACCCCAAGCTCCTCCTCAGCATCCCCTGCACGCAGGCCAGCCCAAACATTTGGACCCCAGAACATCCCTGGCACTCCTGGCCTTGCGATGGGCTCCTGATGCCACGTTGCCCAACCCAAAACAACACGCTGTAAATACCGTGCAAATCGCCCCCGACAGTCGCCAGCATCCTGCCAACATGCCCTGCATCCTCGCCAACTTCACCAGAGTAGGTTTTGGCGGTGGGCAGACATAGCGGGCATGTTTGCGATCAAGTGAGCGGGGCTTCTGCGCAAGCGGGGCCGGCGCCACAATGCAGAACACATCGCAAATAATTACCTTGTTTTTATGTCTCTGCCAGATGCCGGGGATGCAGTTTTAGTCTGATCGCATGCATGCGCGCACGCGTGGGTGGGTGGGTGGGTGGGCGGGGTGGGAATGCGGGTGGGAGGGGAGGGTGGGCGGACGGTGAGGGATGGGAGGGCTGGGTGGGAGACGTTTGCGCCAACCAGCGCAGCTCGTGAAGGCGAAGCTCTAGGATAACGTTCAAACCACCACCCCATGATGGCAACACAAATTCCTATGAACTGCAGCCCGGCTTAAATTTCTGAGTCTTCCCAAAAGCTGAAGCCCAGAAACTGGGGGAGTGACCAAACCGCCAGCTGCCAGGGAGCGTTCCAAGTGACCAGCTGAATGAACTCAGGACGGTGCCGCCTGCAATGGACATGGGCTCTCAAGTCAAGCTAGGTCCTCCAGTAGAGAGGTTAGAATAAGGGTACCCGTTTTTCTGTAGCCTATGTCAGTAGGGGAACCCTCCCCCAAAAAGGATTACTGGGGGATGTAGCAAGTGAGGAATATGGTCCAGTAAAAACCAACCACAAGCCAGCCCAACCCAACCAAACCCAACCAAGCTGCCCAACACGCCCAACACCAAACCTGCCCACACCTACTCAAAGAAAAGCGACACTACACTTAAGCGAGAAACAACAACACTACAAAACCAAGCAACTGCACATAAGCAAATCAACTCATGACTGACATGATACAATCACCAAACTAAACTAAACTAAACGCAATACGCAAACAAAAGGGGTGCATGCTTTGTCCATGCTGCAAACTGAACCAAAGGCCAAGTTGAAACAGCTTTGTGTTGGTTCACATCGAGAAACCCAAACTAGCATTCGAAGGAACGATAATTGCTGGTCCCATCAGGAAGCCCACTTTGTTTCGCAACACCCTTGCTTGCTTGAACCATGTCCATACCTAATGTTTCTACGATAATTTGAGGAATGGATGCCTGTCCCCAGTGTCGAGTCGTGTAGATGTGCCAAGCCTTCAAGCTGGTCTCAGTTGAGCCACGACTATCCAATTTTTTTTTGGCGCTTCAAGGATCTTCAAGGCTAACTGCAAATAAGCCAAGGAAGACCACACCAAACCAAGCTTTTGTAAGTATCTCCTATTTTCAGATTCTGTTTCATATTTACGCCCCCCCCCAACGGTTAGCGGCTCCCCAAGTGCCTCGGCTTTTTGAGGCCCAACACGCGCCAGGTACACGTTGAGTCTAGTTTGCAGACTGAAACTAACCAAACCAATAGACAACACCAAAAAATACCCGACACGTTGTAACATCGACCTAGTCAGTGTTCACCATGCGCGCCCTTCGTTTTTGGAGACCCAGATCCCTCCGACACCTGGACCGCATCATGGTGACGTCCAGTTGGGTCACCGTGGGCTCCTATGGCGAAGAGGCGAAACGTCGAGTCGAGCGTGCCGGGCTTGAAGGGGCAAAGGAAAACCGGAGATTTCGGGGCTCTGTCAAACATGATTTGTTTCCCCTTTACGTAAACGAGCCACTTGCCGAACCCGGACTGAAACTCGTGAAGGGTTTTGCTCCACACCTCGAGTGAACTTCAGTTTCCGGTCGCGCGGAAAGGGATCAAACCACCGGCCACGTAATCCATGACGCCAATCTCAGCAACCCAAAGCGCCCTGAGCCTAGCCTTGTTTGCAAGCCCCCGACCCAAGCTGCAGAAAGCGGTGTAAAACCTTTTGCCAAGGAACCAGTTCTGCATTCATCCGGGGGGGAAAGGAGCGCAGGGGGACCTTCGTGTTGTTTTAGATTCTCTGGGAGCCTTGTCGACCTTGATTGGGGTGGCTTGTGAATCGGAGGGCGAAATTTAAACCTCGCCCTGCCGTTGCCAACTTGACGAGTGAGTCACCCAACTGCCCGGACAAGGTTCATCCTCCCAACAGAAGCTGCATCATTGGTGCCTCTAGTCTTCCTTTGAAGCCACCCGAAAAAACATGGCACCTGCAAATTTGGAGCTTCTCCCTCAGCTGTCCGGCTTTCCGAACTGAACCATTGCCCATCAAAGGAACCCACCAGTTCTCCACTTTTCCTTTGAACCAACAGAACGCACACAGCAGCCCCAAGGTCTGAGCGAAGACCTCCGCTGGGCGGGGCCGCTCGCATTTCGCAGTTCGCGCCTGGAGGGTCTTGTTGAGGTAGCAGTCCCGGAAGCCCCGGAAGATGGAGCCGGAGGACACGATGGGGTGGTCCAGCTCGTAGTAACTCGGGGCTCGGGGCTCGCATAAGCGCCCGCTCCGCGGAAAGGGGCCAACTCCGGACACCTTCAACAGAAGCTCTTTTTTTTTGGGTTGCGGTCTCCCCCGGCATTTTATGCCATGCCTGTTGGATTGGTCAACATTCAAATTGGTACACCAAACAGTCTTTTTCCCCTGCAAATTAGGCAAACACAAAACTTGAATCGGTGAATACTCAAACTTGGTCATACATTTTGCTTCATATTTAGTCAGTTCTGAGACCCCAGACATGGCAAAGCAAATGCCCCGGCGAATCGGTCTTGGTTTGGCGCGGTAGCGCGAGAAAACAAAAGTACTGAGGCACCCAGGACTACCCCCTGGAACACGGTTTCGCCATTGCCTACGGTTTAAGTTCAGAGCTCACTTGGAGGTTTGGATTGGCAATTTGGAGGCTTGATACCTTCCCCTCTTGCTTTTCACGAACTTTTGAGCATACCTTGCATGAGGATTCCCTTCATCTCAGTTGTTCAGTGATCCTGGAAAAAAAAGGAGGGCACCCTTTTTGGTTGGAAGACCGGATTTTTCGTGCAGCCACCAGAAAAAGAACCGGGAGCCACTGAATTGGTGCCACCGAAGTGAGTCATCCCTAGGCTCCAGGCCTCTCCAGGTAGCTGTCCGACACCCAGGTGTAGGTATCCGTGGCCCACTCCGGCGGTGACCATGCATATCTGGCCAGCGGAAAACCACAAATTGAGACCCGTCCGTTTTCGGTGGTGGCTCTGTGAATTTGGCGAGTCTTAACTGGAAACCAAAGGGAAGAGTGAGCCATGGTTGCTGCAGGAATCACTTTGGAGAGGCCAGGATTCCCCCCAAAAAAAACCCAAACCACTTGCAGTAACTGCTTTGGGGCTGCTAGAGGAACTCCCAAGAATAACGTCATCAGGCTCGGAATTGCTGGGTGCTTACCTTCCGCTTGGTGCGCAATGTTTTCGCAAACGGATTTTGCTGGGGTCATCTTGGTTTACCTTTCAGCATCCATTGGTTGAACAAAAGTTGGACTGCGTCATACCGCTTCTATTTGCTTTTGGGCTGAGTCTCTAGATGGACCCCTAAAAATGCGGGCTGATTCTCTAGATGGACCCTGAAATACGCGGGCTGCATCTCTAGATGGACCTTGAAGAATGCGGGCTGAATCTTGGACCCCCCGCCTGGGCAAAGGCCAAAAAACCGCCGTTTGCCTGGCATTCCCCTTTTGGTTTCCCATTGGGCCAGCTGAAACATATGGGGGTGTCCGTTTTCTAGGGACCCCCCCCAAAGAAAACCAAGACGCTGTTTTCCTTGAAAGCAAAAAAAAAAAAGGGGGTTGGCCCCCCAAAAAAAGAACAGATCCACAATTGGTTGCATTGTTTTGGGAGGGTTGGGGGACGGCGCTTTCCGCGTTTTCTGCGTTTTCCGCAGTTTGCGCGCCCCTGGTGCCTGGAGATGTAGATGGCGTTCACCGGCAGCGGCGTGAAGATGGTCTCGTCGTTGTTCCATATGGGGATGATGGGCAGGCCTTGGTGCCGGAAGTAGTGGGGCTCCTCCGAGCGGGCGGGCGGGGAGCCTGATATCAGGAAGGTACCCTTTCTAGAGGCTTTAAATGAAATCCTTTGAATGGTTGTTTCAGTGAAGCCAAGGACCCTTAGTTGCCTGAACTTATAGGGTTTCCGACCTCCCAACAATTCTGAAAAAGAACCGCTCCTCTCAGTTTTGGTCTGGCTTCAAGCCAGCGATCCTTGCCCAATCAAGAAGCCCCATGAAAAAGACTACAACACATAATCCCATCCGAAGTGTGCTGCTTGATTCACTATTAGTGAACCTCAAACCAGGTGTAATGCCAAAAGAGATCCACCCATGTTGGAGGTTCCCCGCGTTTCAAACCACACTGAAGCCCGTTCTGGCCAGTCCCCCATTAGCCTCGCCCTGCCCCACCCGCCACACAAACGGCATGGGCTACAAACCCATGGTTCCATTGTCCCCTTGGCTTGAAATAGGTCCAAAGGGAAGCCACAAAATCACCAATGTTGGCATTTCCTCTCAGCAACCAACTTTGAAAGCTTTTTAAAACCACCGTTGGCACCACCAGAGAAGCAAAAAGACGATATGCTATTGACAACAGCAAGGTTGGCACTAATGTTGGCAGCATCGAAGTTCTGGGCAAATCATAATGTTTCACAAACCAAACAAATCCCCGGAGAAAGACACCTTCTTCATGGGTGACATCGCAACCTTCCTACATTGCTATTGTTGGACAAGAATGCGGGAAACCATCGAACAAAAAACAAACCCAGGAGTCAAATAGGAGAACTCCAAGAATGGCAGCTTCCTTTTGGTTTCCCTTTCAACAAACTTGAAGCGGGTACCCCCCCCCCCCCCAAAAGAAAAAAAGGCAAGACAAAGACTGACCAACAAAAAGCAACAACATGTTCCCACCAATGAGTTTCAAAATATCAGGACAACACCCGGCACAACGAAGAAGAAACATATCAAAACAAACAAACAACAAGCACCAACACAACGAACCACTCAGTTTCTCTAAACACCGTATACAAAAAACAACAACACAAACACAACAGTCACACACACACACACACACGCACAAAAACGAAAACAAAAACACACAAGACAGAAACACAACAAACCACCACGCAGAACCAGCCACTCCGAAACCGCGCGAACTCGCGAATCTTCGGTTTTTCTCCTTGGTCCAGTTTGCCACCTTCTCCGAGGTGTTCTGCAGGGCGTTGGGGTCCGTGGAGGCGTCCACCATGATGGCGAAGCCCAGGTTCCGCGCCTTCAGACCCGCCACCAGGCGGTCCACGACCTCAGCGACTTTCAAGGAGAAGGGGCTGAGCTGCCCCGATTTCTGACGCGCGCGGGGGCGAACAAAAATGCATTTGGCTGTGGGTCAAAAGTAGGGTGACTCCAAAAACAAAACAAAAAAGCGAAAAAGAACCACACGGAATCCTTCAAAGATGTGAGCAGTGCATTTGAGGCTGTGTTTTGCAAACATAGGGTGACTCCAAATTGGAACCCAGGTACATGGAAACATGAACAAACCTCAATTGCGACTTTCCGTGCGGAAAAGGGATGGTTTTCAAAGAACTGAGCTGCCCGATTTCTGATCCTCCTCGAAAAGTGAATCACTTTCAGTGGGTTAAATGGAAACTACCACTAAACACGAAAAGGCTGAAAAGCTAAGGGGATGGCTGGGAGCCAGAGCTGTGAAGTGCATTTGGTTGAGGGAGTTTGCTGGAGTTGGAAGGATCTTAAAGAGATCTTGAGGATATTTTATGAAATTACGGAGCTTTAGCGATTTTTTTCTTCCTTTTCTTTCCTGAGGAAGTTTGAGGGATGAGCAAAGGCTAAGGCGATTTGCATGGTTTTACAAAACCCAGGCGTGCGATGTCGAAAATTGTGGAGCCTTTAACTTGGGCCAGCGGAGTTCGGCGGGGACTTTTTTGGACCCCAACTGAGGTTCAGGGGGACTCTTAAAATTCAAGGCCACCAGAGTCACAATCCAAACGCCTGAGCAGAAAAAAACACAGGGGAAAAGGACACGGGATGAAGTGGGTATGGCTCGCAGGGACTTGTCCCCCTTCAAAATTCACGGTTTCCCTTTAAACCTGCTGGCCGGAGTCTGACCGGATGAATCCATCGATCCACCAAAGCTTTATGAGCGCCTGAGTCAAAACCTGGTCCAAATCAGAACCTTCCATGCTATGGCCCCTCCAGCGGCTGGCGGAAACCCTGGGCTCCGAATCGAGCCACTGTGTCTTCTTTGAGGATATCGGGGTGGGTTCAAAGGGAAACGAAAAGGAACACACCCTTTAGATCCATTTCAAGGTCCGCGGCTTTTAGACAACCCTATGTTCTGACCTTCAACCTCGGCTTTGATGACCTGCCAAGTGGCGACTGGCGCTTGTAAAGCTCCATTTAGGACTCCGTTTGGCCTGCGTTGGTGCCTCCTTTGTTTTGAAATTCTGGAGCAGTTCTTGCCTGCTTGCTTGCTTCCCTGCCTGCTTGCCAGCCTGCCTGCCTTGACAGTGTGTTGCTTTCCGGCAATCCCTAGCAGGACTCTCCAACTACTGCAAGGACCAGAACTTCCTGCAATCTCAGTGATCGTGTTTGCAGCGATTTGGCGGTTCTATAGTTGTCGGAACGCTGCCAAGCGCACACAATTCTTAAGTTGATTTTTTCCGTGTTTCTTTTTCCCGGCGATATAAGTAAGGCTTTGCCGCATGCCAAAACGGAACTAAGTGTTCTCAGCAAAAGCACACAGCTTTGACGAGAACGGTGGCGCCCCCCCCCCCCCCCCCATTTTATGCACATCTATTCAGCTGGCTTCTCTGATATATACTTGGCGTTCCATGGTTAGCTCCAAGCAACAGAAGAGAACCCCTGAAGCTTGGCAAATACCCACCTCCCCGCGCATTCCGCACCCATGTCGGGCATTTTCAGGGGGTTAACTAAACCACCAGGTAAACCAGGAATCGCCAGCTATTTTCGACCAAAACAACCAAGAAGGACACCTATGGACCCATACCTAAATTCTGCCTACAGGGTTGCTGACTCCAAGGGATTGATTCCCGGAAGGGACAAATCAGCAAAGGACAAACATTCCTATGGTTGTGGGACCGGTCGGCTTCGGAACAAAAACGGAGAACACCGAGGCGCTGGGTCCCAGCTCCTGAGCTGGTAGTCGATCCAAAGCCCATCCAGGCCGTAAGATGCCATGAGGTCCAGCTGCCTGCGAGGAGTCAACAGGCGCATGGGTGAAGAGGCAAGCGTTCGCTGGCGGGTCTTGTGCAGCGAAGAAAAGAGCCATCTGGGTATGGGTCAAAAATAGGGTGACCCCAAAATGGGTTGCCCTGGTAAATGGAAACATAGACTAAAACCTGCGGTCCCCTGGTGGTTTAATTTTGACTCATACCCATCTGACATCTGGAGCACTTGTCATAAGCACTTGTCAAATTTAGAGCAAAGCCATAGTTCAGAGTGACCCAGAAGGGGGGGTTGCAAAAGAGTCGCAAGAAAGATAGATATGAGCCACACAGCCAAGGCGATGGCCTGTCGATGGTGGTGTCATTGGTGAGGTCATAGGCGCCCAACCAGCTGGTGTAATAGGAGTTGCCCCCGCTGCCGCACCAGTGGGAGTGCTGGAAAGCGCAGTCATCCCCCGCTCCTGAAGCGAAACACCTTGTGACGACATGGGTTCTGGGATGCCTCATGGAAAGACTCGGCTCACCAATTCTCAGTGGGGTCGATCAAAAATGGTGCTACACACATTCATGCTCCTTGAGGACCTTTTTTTGAGGCTCGGCACCCCCAGGTTGGTTTAACGGGAGGCCTAAAAAGAAACACAACCATGTTGCACAAATGGACACTTGGAGGTAGGGATTGATCAAATCAATGAGATTCGACGACTTTGGGTTGGTGTTTCAAGCCTTTGGGTCGGAGGGACCCCGCAGCACTTTGGGGGACACTGGCCGCGCAGCTGCTTCAGGGCTCAGCCTGGACGGCGTCTCTCTCTAAATGAGCCGCTTGTCCTTTTGGCTTGGGATTCAAACCACCCGAAGGGACCTCTCCGCCCCAAAAAAAACGACCAACCAGCGCATGGGAGGGCAAGACCGAAGTGAAGTGGTGGGGCAAAGGCCAAGGCTCGCTCGCAGGCCGCGTTGGCATTGTACTTCCCCAGGAACCACGGAAGATAATGAGCCACGAACTTCCTCAGCTCCAGGCGCCGAGGCCCCGGGATTTTTCCAAATTCCCCCCCTGACTCGATCGTGAAGTCCACACCATGGAAGGAGTTTCCTGCCGGAGTCTCGGAAACCAAAAGGTCTCAGATTCCTTGGCCAAAGGTCAAAGGTCAAACCCCAAGGAAAGTGCCAAGGAAGTTGCGGCTTCCCTGCCTTCCGAGTTGTTGGAAGCAGTCGCGGGTTGCCAGGTGGGGCGAACAGTCAGATACGGGACTAACCATCAGGAAGCCGAATGAACACCGAAACACGCAATGGGTCGCCAAGATGTGGTAGATTCGCCTCGGCCTCAAAGGGGCCAAGGGCGCTCAGATCTCTTCTCCAACCAAAATTTTGCCGGCCCCCCCCCCCCCCATGTCGGCTGGCCCAAAATCCTGTCCGGCGGGCCTTGAAATTTTCGGGGTTCGTCGGCGTCCAGCTCCATGATTCCATTTTTGTCCAAAAATTGCTTTTCTGTCCTGAAAAGCATGACCTTCTGGTGGCCAGGCCTGTCTGACGTGTCTGAGACTAGGCTCAGACCCAGCCCAACCAGCAACCCGCCTGCTGGCCAGGCCTGTCAGCCCAGCCCACCCAGCCTCAGGCCCAAGCTTGTCTGAAACAGGCCTAGCCCAAGCACGGCCCCAAGTCATCCAGCAAGCCCAGCCTGCCCAGCCCAGGCCCCGGCGCATCTCAGGGCATGCCAGCCACCCAGCAGGCTCAGCCCAGCGTGGCAAGGTCAGGTTTGTCTAACGTCTGAGACTGGCCTCAGGCCAACGACCAGTCTCACGTGTCTGAAACTGGTCTCAAGCTATGCCAGCTACCAGCCCCTCAGTCCGGCTGCCCAAGCAACTCAACGACCAGTCTCACGTGTCTGAGACTGGTCTCAAGCTATGCCAGCTACTAAGCAGCCCAGGCTGACCAGGCCCCTTCGGTCTCAAGGTATGCCAGCCTCAGGCTCCCTCGGCCCGCCTGCTGGCGTGTCTTACGTGTCTGCAACTGGTCTCAGGCCCAGCCCAGCCAGCAACTCGCTACCCAGCCTCAGCCCATCCAGCGACCTGCCCAAGCACAGCTCAGCCCAGCCCGCCCAGCCGAAGTTCCAGGCGCAACCAACAGCGTAGTCCGGCTGCCCAGCAGCCAGCAACCCACCCATGACTTCGCAGCCTCGTGGCTGAGACTAGCTTCAGGCCCAGCCCAACCAGCAACCCGCCTAAGCCAACCTATCTAGCGCCGAGACTGGGCCTCACCAGCTGGGCTCAACTAGCGTCTAGCCCAGCCCAGTGCCTGCTGGCCAGGCCTGTCTGACGTGTCTGAAACTGGTCTCAGGCCCAGCCCAGCCATAGCCCAGCCCCCTCAGTGCGGCTGCCCAGCCCGCCGTGAACTAGCTTCAGGCCCAGCTCAACCAACAACCCACGCAAGCAAGGTCCAGCCAAGCTGCCCGAGACTAGCTTCAGGCCCAGCGCAGGCTTATCTGATGTGTCTGAGACTAGCCTGTGGCCCAGCCCAACCAGGCGAGGCCGGCTTGTCTGACTTGTCTGGAGCCAGCTTCAGGTATTCGGACCTTCCCAACACTGGATTTCGGTGTTCCTGACCCTTCCCTCAAACTAGGCTGGGCCGAGGCGGGCAACGCGAAGCGTTTACAATAAAGTACACGCAGCCAGGAGATATCAGAGTGTTCTCAAAACCAAGTACTTGTTTCCCCAAAAGCACGTGGGACATTTTGGATGCACTCCCTACGTCCTCCCTCCTACCAGCAGTTTTGTCGATTCCTTGTATTCGGCGCATTTACAATCACTCGAAAATGGAACTCTGGAATTCCGAAGCATTGACCTTCACCAGTGTTCGCTCAGTGAGCTCGCTCTAAAATTTGGCCCCCGGAATGAAAACCCGAGGCTCCTCCCGCATAGACACCCCCCCCCGCCAAACTTTCTCCCAGTGGTTCCGTTTACCCCTACAGTTGGCGATCCACCCTTTAAAACCAAAAGGACAATGGGTGGTCTCGTACTATAGGGGTAACTGGGATCCACGACTAAGATGGTCCTCAAGTGACACGTCCAACTCAGGCAGTGGCTTGCCCATAGCTGACCGTTTCAACATGAATCGCTACAACAATCCGATACCCGCCGACCTTGGCGCACGACATCTGTACACAGAAACCACCGATTCACTGACTCAGCTTCAGATTCACCCTCCCATGCACAGTCCGGGGGAATGGAAGACCCTTTTCCCTACAGGGATCCCCTTGGCTCCATGTGAATCGGAAGGCGAGCCCCTAAAATCGCAGCGGCACTTCGGAGGCGCCAGCCACGAAAGCTGGGAACCACCCTAAAGTGGCGAATCGCTTCGGAGGCGACGGCCAACCGCAATGGGAAGATGGGTCGCCGATCCGAGGCGCGTGGTCCGCACGGTGCGGGACTCCCCAGGCGGCAGTACCAGCCGAGACAGGAGCGAGGCGTGCCTGGCGTGGCGGACGCCAGACGCTTGGCAGCAAGCAGCTTGAAGGGGAAAAGGCTTCGTTGGGGGCTACCAACTGGTTTTTTCCGTTAAAATACTTGACTGCTTTTTTTTGCATTAAAACATGGGTCATGATCAGAGTTGTTGCTTGCTCAGAAACCAAAGGAAGTCATGTGATCATGGGGGCAACATGCCAGTAGAATGCACTTGGCCACTCCTTCCCAAAAAATGGGAAATGCCGGTTCCGATTCAGCACCAGGAAACCTTGCCCATGGACCCCAAAGGGCAAAATGCACGAGAGTCAGTCAAGACGACAACCGAAAGGAGCGGCAGGGCCCCTATGTTTCCCCTCTAAAATATGTCAACAGCCAACGCAGATTGCGTTGGCAACCAAAATGTGAGGATACCTGCGAAACCCTGCCAAAAAGGCGCTGAACAAGCCATGAAACCCGGACAATGAGACGGTTCTTCGTTGGAAAAATGGAAGACTCCCAGGATTAACGCCTGTTTCAAAGTGATCTGGGGAATTCGAAACCCAAATCTTCTCCTCGCACATGTTTGCGAGGTTGCTATTTGCCCAAAATGGGTTGGCTTCCAAGGTTCAACTTTACGAAAGATCCAACTTGATTCAAGAACCTTCTTGGGGTTCCCTCTAAAACCGGGGGTTTCATAGGTTCTATACCTACATATGTCATGATCGGCGTTACCCCACTTCGGAACTCTTGGTCTTTCAATCCCCGGAGCCCATGATCATACCCCAAAAGGAGCCGTTTTTTTTGAGCATACCACATTATCACAATCAACACCTGTAGCATTAAAGGGGGTCTACCTATAAGAATCAGGGCGGATGTCCACAGCAATTTATGTTTGGGACTATACTCCACTAACACCTATCTGGCTTTGACCATAGTACATATATGGATAGGGGCAACCCCCAAAATACCCACAATCGGCGGTTTTCCTATGGTTTCCCCCTTTAAACCTACCCCAAAGGCTACCCTCACAAAGACGCACTCGAGCACCTGCGCTCGATTTCAGCGCTCGATTGCAGAAAGACGGCCTGCAGCTGAAGAGTCGGACGTGGGCTCCGGGCACGAAGTCCGAGTCCAGGCACATGGTCGCATGTGTGGCCCACCTCCGAAGCGAACCCATGGGTCGGTTTTTGGGGTGGGTTTTGGGGTCGGTTTTTGGGGTGGGTTGCCCATAAATTGGGTTTGGGGTCGGTTCTTGGGCTGGGATTGGAGAAAATCCGCAGGACCGTACCCAAAGCAATTCCGGGTATGTTGTCGTGACTTGCTTTTTTTAAAATCGGACTCCCTGAAATGTTCATGTGCTTTGCCTGAAATCAGAAGTGGCTTCCTTGATGGGAATCCTCTGATTCAACGGGCTCATTGGGAAAGAAATCAGCTTGCGGCATCAATTCCGATGAAATCCTTTGGGTTTTCGGCTGACGAATGATTCGACTTGAATGCAGATTTCAACGTTGCGCCCAAGACAAAAGTGAGAACGCGTGCCTTTGGGTTAGGTTTGTAAGTGGGTTATTTCCCAATCCTCTACGTAGTTCCCGAACATTTTTTTGTGCGTTTACTGAGTCAGGACCCAGCCACTAAATTGGGGTGCTATGAGTACAAGTCTTGGGAACATTGACATTTGCCTTGATGGAGAGTTCGTCTCAGTGACAAATCCGTCGCTTTTGATGGCTTCTTGAACGGATCATGTTTGTGCAAATCCAGCAAAGCCGATCGCATCTTCCCGGTGACTGGCTTACGCTGGCTTTGCTCCGGCAGGTCAGGATCTATATCAATCTGACTCTACGACGAGGTTTCTTTGTATGTTCTTTCATACCCCCTAGTTCCATTCTACTTTTCTTTCGGCCTGATAATACCACTCTTGCTGAAGCAAGCCCCTTGAACGAGGATATAGTCCCTTTAAGCTTGGATACTACAAAACAGATATTTGCGACCAGAGAGCAACGGATACCGATTTCGGAACGCCCATCTCTGAATCTCGACCAATTCTCTTGCCTGATCTGACCAAGGCCCGTGTCGGGCAAGAGGAACTGCATGTTGGGGTGTGCCTCAAGTCCGCGCGACGCCATGCATTCCACAAAGCCTCCTGGCAGTTGACTGGCGGCTTTTCCCCGAGAACTGCCACTTTTCCAGAATCCTCAAGGGTTCCGCGTGACGCCATGGATTCCACAAAGCGCCTATCATGAAGGAGCGCCAGAACACCCATGGCAGTTGACTGAATGGCAGTTGACTTGCCACTTTTGGAGGTTCCAAAACAGAACTGGACGGCCCAAGGGGCGACTCCGCAGTCCCAGAGCTGGATCTGCGTGCCGTTGCCTCCGGCGAGTTTGCTTGGTGCAGGCTTCGGAGTGAAACCAGAAACTCAGTTGTTCAGTGACATGCGTCCCCAAAGGGTCCACCCCGCAAACTTTCTTGTTTGGTTCTTCTTTAAGCCAAGGTGAACCTCAGTTGTTCAGTGACCCTGGCAAAAAAAGGAAACCCTGTTTGGTTGGAAGACCGGTTTTTTAGTGGGGCAGCCACCAAAAAAAGGGAAACATTGGTGCCACTGAACAAGTGAGGAAAGGAAACTCCAAGCCCATCACTTTTCTTGCCTGGAGGGGTGGGTTGCAAGCTTGTTTAGCCTGCTACCCCAAAGGAGAAGCCGGAACCGGGAGGGAATCTGGGTTGATGGAACTTGAGAAAGGCAGAGGCACCACTGCAGCGTGTTTTTTTTTTTTGCGTCAAAACCCCTCTTTTCGCGCCCTGCAAGACACGCTTCACGACCAAAGAAACCTCGCACAGTTCCTCGTCGCCTAACATCCACCGCTCGAGTGCGACGTGACGCCATGGCGTGGACGAATGGAAAAACATGTCATCGCCTGGTGTTTCCCTGGGAGCACCTAGGACCCAAATCAGGATTGACTCAGATGCCCAGTGATGGGACAAAAAAGAGCATCCGGTTTTTGGCCGGTTGAGTTTACAGGGGAACCCTTAGCCCAAAAGAAAGGAACAAAAGGGCGCCGCTGGGTAACAGAGTTGAGCTTTCAGCGTCTTTTTAAAGGCTCGGAGCAGCCACGACCATAGGAAGGGGTTTGCCCCACCCCGGCCAGTTGCTGGGGCCATGGAAGGTACCGCTAGGCTGATGCTTAATCTACTGCAGGTTTTGCCGCACAAATCTGCGAACTGGCTGCAGTTCAAATGTTCCAATGAAGAAGAAACTTCGTATCTCACGAACTAGGGGCGAACACGAACACATATCAAGCTAACTCTTCGGAGTTGTAAGCAAGATGTCTTCTGACGGCCACGAGCGGGTGCGTCTTTTTAACGGTACCCCTTTTTTGGGTGGTTTAAAAAGGAAACCAAAAGGACACCTGCCCTTTTTTGGGTGGGGTCCCTCAAATTCGTGGCCCCAAATCTTTAGCGAGCTGCTGTTCACACCACCTGCCACGTCCACGCACTTCTCTGGGTGGTCCAAGAGCCGGATCTGTGCCGTGTCGCTGTTCATTAAGAAGCGAACTGCGCTCTCCTGAGTGCCCCGATGCATCGGGGGGGGGGTTCTCATCATCCCTTCTCAGGGTGTTCAGGGGCGGGCCCCCAAAACTGTTGGCTCCCTTTGATTTCTGTTTAAATGCCAAACAAACAGGCTCCTCAAAGCAATTTTGAATTTTCCAATCGAGTTCCAAGGAAAGTTGCTGGAAAGTTCTCAACCCCCCAACCCCTAAGACCCCATCATGCCATGGCAATCCCCCTTCCTATCCAGTTGCCTAACTGCCCTCAAAGAAACTAAGCGACACCCGAAGTTACTAAAGTGTTCAATGGGGTACCTTTACATGGTCGTGGAGAATGGTTTCGCCTTTCTGTGATAGAATAAGCGGTAGCCATTCCCATGACGCCTCACTTCAAATCGATTCCCTTGGCAAGTATCACACAAAGCGGCCCGTCCACAAACTTGGACTTTGGCCATTGCCAGTCACAAGGGCAGGCCGCAACACGTCGATAAAAATGTGTGTGTGTGTGTGTCTTAAACTCGGCTACCCGAAACATGGTTCCCTCAAAAATGACACCCAGCTAAGACCTAGAAGCAACAGGCCGACCACCTCAGAAAATGCCACGGGACCTTTTGTGGTAGGAGCACGTGGCCGTTGAAGCACAAACAACAAACTCCTCTGCCCACTAGCGTGCCGATGAGTGTAACTTTCTCAGGGTGGTTTCATCTCCTTGCGGTTTATCTTCAAGGAAATAACCAATAAACCGGATTCTCAGTTGTTCAGTGACCCTGGCAAAAAAAGGGAGCCCTTTTTTGGGAAGACCGGCTTCTTAGTGGGGCAGCCACCAAAAACAAAGGGAAGAAAGAAAAATAATTGGCACCACTGAACAACTGAGGATTCTGCAGAGACCCACAACCCGAGGCTTTTGGCCCAACCTCCTTTGGTCAGCCTGCCGGGCTCGTTGAAACAAGCCCAGAAGCAGCGACACAAACCAACCCCGTCCGAGGGCCCAGCGAAACAAAAGGCGGCTCACAGGGCGAAAAAAACCACTGAACACCACCGCGAGAACTTGAAAGTCCATGGACTGAACACATCTCACTGGCTGAGTGGATGGCCCAAAACAAGTCCGAACTTTATATTTACCACTAAAATGGTCTTCCCAAAAAGTTTAAAGTTCATGAACTCAGGAAGTGAGACATACACACAACTGAACACCAACATAGCCAAAACAGACACCCACAATTGGACAGCCCTAGTTCCAAAGACATGTCACTACCTTCACTCAAATGCCGAGTGGCCATGGGAAAAGAAGGGCATCCCTTCTTGGTTGGTTGACTTTAGCGGAACCGGAACCCTTCCCACCAAGTTGAAAACAACGGGGAGCTGCGGACGTCCAGGCGGAGAAAAAAACAAAAAACCACGTGCCGGCCAGGTCTCGCAGGCCGAGATTTGGATGGGCGAGCCGTTCAGGAGCCCCGTGATGTCCAGGCACAGCGTGGGGTCTTTTGCCAGGTGCACATTCCTCAGCTTGGTCGTAGGGACGGACAAAGGACGCCCAATTCCCAGAAAAAGGTCTGAGCAACTTCTCGGGCATTCTTGGAAGGAATCTGAGAATCTCTTTGATTCCGAAGTTGGATTCCCATGCCCAAATCCCCAAGATTACTTAGCACTTGGAAGGGAATTCCCTTAGTATCACAGAAAGTGGCAGCTTCAAATCGCCTCTGCTCGCCCAATACTTCGGGACATCAAAGGATCCCCCCCCCAACCTTCCCAGTGATTCATGCATAGTCAACCAAGGAAGCCAGCAACGAAAACCAAAAGAAACATGGGGTGGTTGCTTACTCTCGCTTGCAACCGGGATCTGAGCTGCTTGAGGTGTCTCCGGTGCAGCTATCCCCCTCACGGCTTGTGCGGAGCTCGACATGTTCATGTCTTGCTTTCCAGTCGGTTTTTTTGCTTAAGCCGCAACCAACAGGGGTTCCCCATACGGTCAAATGCAGCTGGGACCAGTTGGTAGCAAAATATCATCCTTGCTTTCCTTCTCGGATTCAACTGATTGAAGCAACAAACGATGTACTTGGGTCTTCGTTGGTCTTCTTCGAGTTCCCCGGATGCTGAGGAGCCTTGTGCATTTCGCGTCCTACTGACAAGTTTGCCACGTGTCCTCTTTCAGGGGCCATGCGCGTTTTCCATGAGGTTTCAAGAGGACAACTTTGCTCGGCCGCTTGATCGTCTTGTAGGAACTCGGAGCAACCCTGACTATAGAACAGGTTTCCCACTGGAGGGGCTGCATCTAGAACACAACACCAGGCCGGCTGGATGAGGGCAGGGCGCTCACTCTCTGCTGTCTTGAGGGTACCCTCTTTGGGACTGGTTTGAAGGGAAGCCACATGAGCAACATATTTGTTGGGGCTTTCATCAAATGGTAGAGAGGTCCCTATTTTAGTTAGACCCGGCCTCTCCCGTCCGTCAGATGGCATTTTTTCCCACACCCCCCCCCTACACTTTTGAGCACTTTTTAAATACACCTATCAAATTACACCATTCAAAACCACCAAATTGAACAACCCTCTAAGTTAATCATTAGAAAAATAATGTTCTAATGATCAACTTCATTTTTTAGTCCAATTCACCACCATCAGCCTGATCAACTTTCTTTCTTCTCAAAGCTGGATTATACAAAGGCATTGTCATTTTGAGTTCTTGTATCCTCTCTTGACCTTCTTGATAATATTTGTCCTTGAATTCTTGTGTAGGTGCTTCTTCAACTAATCGTTCATAATCTGCTTTCAAGTGTTTGAGTATATTATCTTGGTGACAACCTCCAACCAAATGGAAGTCCCAAATTTCTGGGTTCACTCTTCTTTCACAAACATGGCAATACAAATATCCATTATTCGCTGTTTTCTCTCTACGCTTCTGATTAATTTCCTCGCGATTTGCTTCAAGATACTGTTTCCGGTATTCTTTCCTCTTGTCTACAGTTCGTTTGTTGTAGTCTCGTTTTTGATCAGTGCATTTATCGCAATTTTTGAGTCCATACACGAAACTATCTTCACCTTTCTCGTATCTACATCTTGAACACAGTTTTTTCTCCATACTATAGTAGGACACCTTGCCTTTAGATGGCTACAACCCTATTTTCAATGAAATATCACTCCCCGAAAAATGGTTAACCAATGGAAAAGGGAGAATTAAAACCGTTAACCCAAATCTTGAAAATCCCAGTAAAATATGGATGGCAAAATGCGGATCGGGAAAGGCCTAGGTAGGAAAGCACCCCCACGGCTTATATGGGAAAATTAAACTATAATTATAACATATAAACATTTATATGTTATTATTATATTATGATTACAATTTCAGTACAGGATAATAATTTAATTGACAAATATTACTTCTTTCATACATCATTTTAAAAATAATATTAATATCTCTCACTGTATTTTTAACATTAAACTTTTTATAAATTTCAATATAAAATTTAATATATTCTTTAATATCTTGTCCTTTCTTTTGACTATGACACAACATCAATAATATATCAGCAATCATTACATATTTTTTCTTACTGATTTTAAGAAACTGTTTAACATATTCATAAGGTGGTATTTTATTTACAGTTAAAAATATCAAAATGTCATCTTCTACATTTCTATTATGTCTTATTTTTTTCTCAACACACAATTGATTATAGCTTGGTTATCTCTCCAGGTTTTACAATTTTCGCATATATCTTCTTCATCCATTGAATAATTAATAATAATATTCACTATTTCAATAGGCAAATTTAATTTATACAATTCCATATTTTCTTTTTTGAAGTGACAACAATCATAGCATTTTTTATTGATATAATTATTGATTTTATCATCGTTCATTTTCCTCTTATTATATTAAGGTAATATTTCTTTAAATACATTTTCAGGGAAACTTTTAAATCAAGCGAATTATAATTACAACATATAAGATCTTACATGTTGTAAGTATAGCAAAACTATGGTATCAAAGGCTTTAATCTATGTATTTCCAGGGGTTGTATTCGTTTCTTCTGTTCCTTCCTTAACTCTTTTGTTGCTTTTACTTTGTCTCTGCATTCCTTACATGTTTTGTAAAATATCTCTTCCATTTTAATTCTATCATACATTTTGTGAAAGTCCTTTCTTGGCTTTGCTTCGTCGCATTTACTGCAAGGATAAACCATTGTGCATCCTGTTTCTTCTTCATCATCTGTAGAACTCATAATATTAGTTATGCCAATATGTCTTTAAACGGATTTTCAGAGAAAAATGTTTTCAATCAAGAATAAACCCCTGTATCTTCATCATAGTCAATTTGATAAAATGTCATAGTTGAAGCCTTCGGTTCTTTAATTTCTTTGTTATTAAGTTTGTTTAAATAAATATTTCTTTTATTTTTATATTCACCATTGGTTCGATCTACTTCTTTACTTTGATAACTGTTTGTTAGCGGTTTCTTCTTTTCCATTTCTTGCAAGATTTCTAAAATATTCTTATTCTGTTCTAAAACCTTGTTCAGTTTTTTAACCATCTTTTCTAATCCTTCATCCATGTAATATATATATATTATATTATAAAATAAAACTTTTAAAACTAAATGTTTAAATTATGTTAAATCTACTTTTTAATTACTAATTTTTCATCATTTGTTTAATAGTTTCCTGAGTTTCCTTATCACCATTATCGGATGGAGTAACTCCCCTCCCAATGGTGGTCCATTGAAAAAATGGGGGTGGTCCATTGGAAAATTGGGGGTGGTCCATTGAAAAAATGGGGGTGGTCCATTGGAAAAATGGGGGTGGGCCATTGGAAAAGTGGGGGTGGTCCCTTGGAAAAATGGGGGTGGTCCATTGGCGAAACAGTTCTAATAAATTCATCAGCTATTAGAACCGTTTAGATATTATTTTTTCAAACCTTCAGAATCTCTGACCTCAAGTAGGGGCGGTTCATCCCTTCAACAGAATAATAATCTTGACCAAGTTTTTTTTCAACCCTTGAAACCTTGTATTTGACACTGCTCCAGTTGCTCGTTCTTTCTTTCTCGGAAATCCCTTTTTTGCGGTATATTTTGACCTCATCGCCAACCCTAACAGGGGGATATTTACGGGTTTTGATTCTGTTCATCTCAAGCTTCATCTTGACCTCAAGATGGTTTCCCTTTTTGTGGGCATCGTTTGGAGTCATATCGTGGGCAGAATGAACCATTTTACTGTTGTATGTCAGCATGATCTCGGGGATATAATCAACCCATTGTATATTAACCTTTCCCTTTTTCTCGTCTGCATCAACCCTCTTGAAAAGCATGTCCTTGAACGTGCGAATGAAACGCTCGGCAAAATGGGGGTGCCCTCGTGTTTTATAGTTTTGGATCCCTTCGTCCTTGAAAAAATCAACAAGATCTTGGGTGTTCAGGCTTCCCTCGTCATCCGAATAAATTAATTTGGGTTTCCCTCCCATTTTGTTTAATGCCTCCATGATCCCAGCCGTGATGTCAGCAGGTTGCTTGGATGCAATAGGCACCACCACGGCTTTGCGGGAAAATACATCAATAAGCAATAAGCCTATCCTATATTTTTGATTATCTAAATCATTTTTTGATATAAAAAACAGATCCAATTGATATTCAAAGTTGATATCAGGGGCAATAAACGAATTGTATCCAGACAGTTGTTTTTTCCGTTCCACGTTCTCTTGAAACCACTCCTTGACATCTTGCATTGTTATGGATGCATCTTTCTTTTTGGCGTCTGCAAGAGTTGTTTTTAAAGAGCCAAAACCAGCACGATCATAATAAACTTCGCTAATAATATCTTGTTTAGACATATATATATATAAACAGGATATTATTGTTTTTGTTGCAAAAAATATTGGTGTTTGTTTGTTCGTTGGTGCCTTTTGATTTCGTGAATTCTAACCATGGCGCCGCATTCGCATTCAACCTTTTCTTTTTTCTTGGCGCATATACTATCTTGCTTCTCTTGATAATATTTATCACTTCTTTGTTTGACATACCCCCTATTTGCGTTGCACCATTCTTTTCTTTTTTCAGCCAAATATTCCTTGTTATTGTCGGCGTATTTCGCTTTTTGTTGTTTGATTTTGTCAAAGTTGTTGTTGTAGTATTGTTTGTTCTTTTCATTAATTTGTTGTTTGTTTTGTTCATAGTATTCATGTCTTCTCTGGTCAAATTGTTCCTTGTGCTGTTGTTTGTATTCAGAATTTCTGTTCAGGATGTATTCTTTGTTCTTGTCATAGTATTCTTGTCGTTTCTGCTTGAAATAATCTTTGTATAGTTCTTTATACTCAGCAGGCGTCCTTCCTGCAACACATTTATTGACGCATTGCATTGCTTGTATGTATTCTCCTTCTTTCCTTAAAAGTTCTTCCTTACTTTCACAGGGGTAATTCTGAATAAGAAGTATTTTACAATTTTCGATTCCGTATTCATCAAATATTAATCGCACTCTTGTATCAACATTGCCAGTTTCCAAATATGTCTTGT